AACCAGTTTCTCTGTACAGGCGAAATCATGAAATTCTTTTTCAGCAGTGTCCTCAGTCAGAGGCTTCCTCAGGTCTGCCATAGTACTGACCACTACAGGAGATCTTTCCTACTTACAACATCACCATCTACATTAACTCCAATGAATCATCATTCCTTTGACATTAAAAAGTAATTTTGAAATAAACAATTTAAATACAATTGTATGTGTTGATAACAATATCTGGTGTGATTATTATTTTTTTTGTTTTGTTTTTATGGCCCTAGTTGCTTGTTTTTTGGACAGTGGCAGCAAAGGACAACAGGCCAGTTTTTTTTTACTTTACTCATTAATAAAATCTTTGTTTAATCTCAAATATTTTGCATGAATCTGGTTACTTTGGTCATTGCTATAATCTAGGGAGGATTTTAATATCTCAAATAAGTGATTATTTCATCTCATATACAGTGTAAACGTGAAAAAAAAACTGTTTTGTGCTATATTGTGAAATCCTATCATCAGAAATAATTATGATATCAAGAGAAAGATGGAGTAGATCCTGGCGCACACTAACCACTGCGCCACCTGCACGCCCTGGTGTGATCATTTTAATGGGCCTCTATATAAATAGTTACAATAATTAATTCTACACAATATATAATATAATCAATATGATAAAATACATCATATAAGACATAAGGCTTCAGCTATTGAACACAAATAAATATTAAACTGTTTCTTTAAATGGGGAAATGCATGTGCAAGGTCAGGCATTCCCCTACTTCCTCTCTCTACACGTAAGACAGGAAGCAGTTCTTAAGCTGAACGAAACACAAATATAAAGACATTATTTTGGGTTTTCTTGCAGCATTGAGTCACAAAGGCATTAAAGATGCCCCCTGTGTTTATTTCAGTTCCAGAAAGTTTGGTACCATTCTGCTACCAGTATCTGCTAGTAACAAGAAAAAGTACCACAGAGAAACAGATCAATTGAGAGTAGTTATAAGAACTGTGAAAACTAACGAAACTTGTTAATTTTTTAAAGCTAACTATCATCTGATTGCTGCTGCTACAGAGCTAAAGAGCTATTTCATAAACTTTACTGAGTCTGGATTGCATTTTCATCCAATCAAAAATCGAAAAATAAAAACACTGATAAAAGCTGAAGTTAATAACTAAACTGTAAGTAGAAATTATTAAAAAAAATATATTTAAAACCCTTTGTTCTATTTTAGGAGGCCTCTTCAAAGCTACTTTCAAAGTATGACCTATTTATAATTAGACAAGCGTTTAAGCCTCAATCTATCAAATCTCGATTGGCAGATTTACCCTGATTATAGATTTTTCAAAACAGTTTTTAATTTATGAGACAATAATCACTTTGAAAACAAAATATCTAATATCAGTCTCATGAACACCACACTGTATCTTTGCATCCATTAAAGGATGAACTGAAGGTCGAAGCAAGAGTAGGAAGATAAATAATGACAACAGTAAATATTGGAATATAGCTTACCATATGATTAAAGCATCAATGCTGCTGGCAGTTAAAGCTGCAAATGTTTTATTTGGCACAGTGGTGGATAAATGTGATTATCTTGACAACAGAAGTGAGTTGAAAGAGAAGAGGTCATTTTGAGAAGCTCTAATGAATGCTCCTTTCAGAGCCCCCTCCTGAGATTGCTTAAGTTAGATGAGCGGTTACGCAAGTAGGCAGAGAGGATTGTTTTTCAAGTGAAGACACAAAAACAGATGCACACATTTTTGCAACAGCCCGGTGCTTTCGTACAAATAGAGAGCCGACTTCCCAGCTAGCTGATGGAAGCCGACACACAGCAGAAGAATAGGCTGCCTCTGTGTTGTCACTATAAAGCCTGGCTGAAGTGCCGAGCGGCCTCACTGTGTGTGGCGCCGCAGGTTGGCACACTCACAGGGGTCTTTATTGGGGTGCCGTCCTAAGCTCCAGGCAGCATGCCCGATGTTGACAAAGCCTGGTATCGCCTGCTGTCAGCCCATTCTGTGTGCACCCGGCGGAAAGAATCAATTAGGCCTAGCTCACAACAGAGCACTTTAATATTTGACTTTTAATCGCTGGGCAGACGGCAAAATGGATCATGAAAGCAAGTTGGCAGAGTCCATTTTGCTGATGTGGAAAATGAGGATCGGCATAATGCTTCAGGGACCTCGAGGTGAATCCCTGCACCCCGTATGACGGTCTTTATGATCATAAAGTCCCTTTAAGATGTGATAGGAAAATAAACTTTTATTACTCACAAGACACTAAAGGTATTATGCAACCAGCTGCAAGGAATAAACGAGGACGTCATAACTTTGTGCATAAAGCAGCCCATCAAGGACAGTGGTTTGAGAGAAGAGAGCCAAACTGAACTTTGAAGAGTTCCTCTAAAAGACTTTTGTTTTAATCCCACTCAGCTGAAGGCCCTCTATGTCAACAGACGGATGAGTCAGAGAGAGGTGAACACTGTCCTCACACTGAGAGGTTTTGAAGTGGAGATCAGTCCTCAAAGAGAATATCTTACTAAAGGCACTTCTTTTACCTGTCGGCTCTTGCTAGTGTCACAGACACATGACGAAAAAGTTCAGCTCCATCAACTATTCTGTCATGAAAAGTTTCTCGGATGAGCTCTGAACTATCTAGACAGCAAGGTCGTTTGTTCAAACGAGGGGGGAGCTGATTAGAACTGCACATACCGCTGATGTTAAAGTCCTAATGAGACACAGCTGTATGCGTATCGACTTCCCAGCTGTTAACGCTGGATGACTCTGATCACATTAAACGAACCTGCACATTACAGGATGGCTGCGATGCTTAAATTAGCTAACTTCATCAGTGACTAAACACATGGAGGTAAATTAAAGCTCTGTTAGAAAGGGCTGCTGAATGATTAAATGACTCTGAGTTTTATAAAAAAAAAAAAAACACTTATCCTGGCTGTATTCCCGCAACTCCCCCCCACCTCAACCCTGCATCTTTAATTTTAACACTGCTGCCTTAGTGGTCAGTGAGGCGACATCTGCTGTGTCCAAACAACTCCCAAAGATCTGTGAGATCAGGAGTGCCATATCAGCAACCATCCTCTAAAGAAAAACACAAAACACAATGACGTTTTCTGATTTTGGGGCTCACTAAAAATGCACGATTGTGCTTCGAAGGTGATGAATCTATTCCCCTGCAGTAAATAAAGTGTTGACAGTTACTGCAGCGGAGAGCGTTTGTGTTTTATTTCCTCAGGGATCTGTAAACTCCATGATAACAGCAGCAGTAATCAGAATCTGACATTTTTCTTCCTCAGCTGGAGGAATGGTGCTCATAGAGGTGTAAAGCGAATGCATGTCACGTTGCTTCAGAAAGACAGCATGTTAGACAATTATATTCTCTGATACCATGATTTGTTATTAGTTTAATCTGGAAACACTGACTTGCATGGAAGGACTTATCTGTATGTCAAAAGTTTTTATAGTGCTTCAAACTCTACACATCTGTCCCTTTACAATAACAAAATCTATCTAAAATTTATCTAACGCAAAATAGGGCAACAAAGAAACTCAGATATATAAAAAAAACTTTTAACCATTTCTTTTCACATCCTTTAGGTTGATACTCCTGAAAAAACAACAACATTGTAACCAACTTCAGAAATAATTTAATTATCAAACCGGGTTCAATAGTGTAATTTAATGTCAGAATAAACTCAGCTGCTCTTTGAAGGCCCTAACGGTAATTAGAGTGCCTTGGTGAATGAACAGCATCATGAAGACCCAGGAACGCTGCGCACAAGTCAGAGATTAAGTCATTTAGAAGTTGGAGCAGAATAAGGTTATAAAAAATATCTTAAAGGTCTTATATCATTAATTTAAAGATTTCAAAAAGTAAACTATAGGCCTAAAAAATGATAAAATAATGCCTTTAGCACTATGCAATATTCATTTGCAATGAATTATTAGTTTTTTTTCCCTACAAGCCGGAATGAAAGTACCTTCCTTTCATTCCATATTAAGTCTTGTTTCCCTGTCAGTGTGCCGTCCATTTCATGATGTCACTGTATTACACCACTGCTGGAGGCCGGTGTTCTGTCAGAACGGCATACGCTGTCAGATCAGAATACATTGTTCTAATATGCATGCGCACAAATGCAAATCAAAGAATTGTTCCCACATTAAATTGGAGATTTATTTTTACTTTTAAAAAGGAAAATCAGCTTTGATTATACTGGTATTTCTCGGATGTTGAAACGGCCAGACATGATAGAACTTTCTGGGATGTTAAGAAAAGAAGAATCTAGCTAAAACCTTATTAGTCACTATTGATTGAAAATAAGATACTTTAGTAGTAAACAAACGTGTGTGGAAATTTCAATTTGGTTACATTTTGTTTTAATGTTTACAATCATAGAAAACATTGGCTGCGGTTTATATTGTAACTCGGAATTAATTTATTTTAGATAAAAACCTAAGCATATGTCAATCTGACACCGTATGCTGTTCTGACAGAACACCAGACAAAATTCAAATCCTCTGAAGGTAAAAAAAACAGACATTAGCTGTCTGCAGCTGCTGTCTCTGTGCATATTAGCTGCTTAAAGAGCCACTTCCTTAACTCTTAGCCAGAATCATCACCTCTGCCTCATATCGCCCCTCTCTGATCGAAGAAAGAGAACGTCTGCTGCAGATGCAGCGTGGTCATGGTTCACCCTTCCTGGAGGGAACCGCTCTACATAGACATGTCCCATCTGCTCATTTTCACAGCATATCTTCTCTGTAAAGATATCTCTATGTAAGAAAGATAAATAATTATTTAACATTTTCCCTGCTTAACCATTATGCACAATCTTGTGTTTGGAGTATTGCATGAATTTGAAACAAAATGATACAGCTTGTGGCTAAAAGGTGACAAACTGAGAAATTTTCATTGGGTACGTCTCTTTGTTGAAGGCTCTGTCTATAAAAGTGAGGAAGGGCGAGTTTAATTGAAACTGTGAGTAGGTGGTAAACAGCCTTACCTTCTTTTCCAAAAAAGCTTCTTTAGATGTTCTTCTCTCCCACAGAAACCAGCCTTAGACTGCCAAGTTCTGTTAGCAAACAAGAAGTGAATGAATTCTTGGCAAGCTCGAAGCTTCAGCATAGGGGCCCAAACAACTTACATATCTTTGCCTTTCCAGCTTGTTTTCAGAAATCCTTTTTAATTAAAAACGATGTTCCCATTCTGATTGACTCAGGTTTAATCTATCCTTGCATGTCTCTGCCCTGGTAGACAGTTATCATATGCCAGATACCCATCCCCTACCTTGCATTTCACGAAAAAAGTGATACCAAATCACCATAGAGAAACACAAACACATAACATACAATAATTTCATACTTTACTCCTACTGCAATGCCTGAGGAAACAGGAAACAGTTCAGGGGAAACTTTAATTAGACGTGTACCAGGAACAAGAGATAAAAATAGTTTCACTTTTTAATATTTAATATCATCCCTGTCTTTGTAAAAACTACTAGAAGCAGACAGGTAGCTGATCTTCCTTTTTTAAGATATTATTCCAGGACTGTAACAATAATGTTAAGCATACATTTGAGTTGTTAATGCTGAAGCTGCTCACTATCACAGCAGACAGGCAAGGAGAAATCATTTTAATGCTTTAAACTAGGTGTCAAAAGCAGCCGAGGAACAAAAAATAGCTGTTTTCTCTCAGCCCTTTCCATCAGGCTGCCATCTCACAGGATCACTGTGACTGAATCTGTGGCAAAGTGGCTGAATCAGTAATGATGTAAACTAGGAGGCCTTGATTTTTATTGCCTGTCTGTAAAACTGCACTGACAAGAATGGAGCTGTCTCATGCTTGTTTAAATTGGACAGGTGTCAGTGTCCAACTTGTGAGCATCTAAGCTCAGACAAGCTGACATCTCTTTGTGTGATAAGACGCACACCTCCATGTTTTTCTGATACACTGCATAGCTAACAATAGTAGAGCACTTTGAAAAGCCGTGGTCATCTCTCTGCCATGGCATGTCAGAGCCCCAGTCTGTACTCACTCTAGGAGAGCAGTCAGCTTCTTGTGGACATCAAAATGTTAGATAGTTCCTGGCTTGTTCATTGTGCATCCAGAGTATTTATTTTTTTTAATCATCCTTTATTTTTTGCTTTTTATTTCAAAAGTAAATGAAGCATCTTTTACTAAAAGGAAGGCTTGGAAAACACCCATGAAGTAATGAAACAAGGATTTGATTCTAAGGAAAGACTCAAGCTTTAGATAGACCTATTCAGTCCATCAACTGAGGATAGAAAGATAGGACCCAGATGAAACATACAAAGATCTGTCTGTCCACCAAACAACAAAACTGGAAGCAATAATCCACAAAGCAGCCAATAGACTTATGGACACTTTAAAGCAGGAATTCCCTAACGTTAATGGTCCCTTTAACAGCCTTGACTTCTGGTTGAGGACATCTTTGAAGAAGCTACAAAGTATGTAAAAATAAAAACAAAAAAACAAAAACCTTATGTGTGGAGAAGAGCTGAAGCAAAAGAAGAAAGGAGAATAATTAAATCTCTAGATGTACAGGGCTGGTAGAGACATATGCACCAAAATACTGACACGCATCATTAATGGGAAAGGTGACTAAACACATGTACAGCACAGCTATCAGATCTTTATTTGAAAAAGAAAACAAATAAAAAAATTGACAGCTATTTATTATTATACTTACACTCTACCATTAATGTGCCTCTTGTGTTTGTCTGTCCCATTAAATATCCACACAAACACAAAGATTAAGTTTGTCATGTGACAATAACTGACTTTGAAACAATAGCAATGCTTTTTCCTTTGAAGCCACAAAGCCACGTTCATAACCGATGCAACAATGGTATCTAAAATACTGGCAAATGAGGAGCAGCTTTAGTTCAGATATGAAAAAAACAAAGCTGTCGGGACAAAAAACATTTTTGACAGCTTTTCATAAGGCCAAATAATGACACCCACATGCTTGTTGTGTTCAGCAGACATAGCAGGCTGCAAAAGGCAAAAATTACTTAGTTTTCTTGTTCTCCCAATAAAATACAAGAATGACAGATTTAATATAAATAAGCGAAGAGGAGGAAGAGGAAGAAGGGAGGGGGACTGATACAGGCTCCGGGTGACAAGGCGCTCTGACGAGCGTAGCAACCGGGGGGAAAATGCGACACCTGGCCTTGTCCTTGATGTGCATAAGAGGATGATGCATCAAAAAGTGACAGAGCAGAAAGATGGTTATTACTCTGCCAAAGAGCAGGAGAAAATAAGGAGCAAGAGTAGAAAGCGACTATTTTTAGCGGGAGAGCAAAAAATACATCAGAGCTTTACTAGATATTCCTTTTCATCAGAACATTTTGTCGTTCCAAGATTTTTCTGTTTTCTGGTGGTTGTACAACAAGAATTAATTAATTCCAAAAAGTGACGAAGAATGATCAACTGGACATCCTGAAATAAGTCATGCAAGGTAAGGCTCCTTTGGACTGAGATGAGTACGAAGGAGAAGGGAGTTTAGGACAGGCTTGTTGAAAGTTTGATCAAAAGAGTAAGTAAGCACCAGCATGAGAATCGGATTTCTTTCTCGCGGCCAGAAAAAAGGCAGATTGATTTCAGAAGGCTTGAATCCTTGCTTTGCCTTTATTGATCTCTTATCTGCAGCCCTGTCTTGCCACCGATTAAGAGTTCACTAAGAAGAAGCTCTTAATTATTACCACCTCACTGCCAATATCTCTATTTACTTCTTTTGATTTGTTCAGCACCGCTCACCTGCAGCTTCAACCAACACTCAACATTACGAAAGAAATTGATCTGGGCTAGTGATATATAGGGGGTTATGGTTGGTATAAGAAAAAAGAAATGTCTTTAAAGGTAAACCTGCTGCAGAGAGTAAAAATCATTGTGCATCCCTGAGAATATGATGTTTACCCTGCAGCCAGATCTAAAGGATCAGAATGAACTGAGATATTTTGGACGCAGAAATCAGGAATGTTTCTGAGTGTAAGGCGAGGAAGATCAAAGGATTCATTAGGTGAGAATTAGATCAAACACAGCTGAAGTTGTGTGGACACACACAAGTGTAACAGTGAACTCAGTCGGTGTGAACACTGATCCAGGCTCTGGAGCTTGAAAGCTGACTGACTGGGTGTCTCCTTAATTGCTGAGAACCTACGTATCAAGGGAAAATGCGCCTCTCTTCACAGCCAGCTTACCTTCTATTTTTTTACCTTTATGTTTAAGCCTATAATCCCATTGCATCGATATAGTGACAAAATCCAATTTCAGAGATCTGGTAATGCCATAGACACTAATTGGCAGAAAAGAGGCTGCTCCACCCTAACAGAGGAAGAAGCACGGTGGAGTAGGAAAACTGCAACACGCAGTGAACAAGCCAATAAAAACAATGAGCCGAAAAATAACAAAATTTCCGTAGGTTAAGTGGGAAGCTTTAGTCGCCTCCCCTGACACCCACTTAAGTGATTTATAGGCGTTAAGCATGGTTTATGTAGATGCAGGATAGTAAAAGTGTAGCCATTTTGTCATGAATGCTTTTCATGGCACAAGGTCAGATGTGCACAATTCAGAACAATAGAGGTATAAATCTGCACACCAGTTTCTTCATTATCTGCAGTAAGAACTGTTTTATTAACTGTTTTGGAGTTAGACTCAACCCTTTGCTCCTTCTCATTCAAGAAGCACAAACAATAAATATACTGCGTGACCTCAAAGCATTGGTAGGACAGATTTCTAGGATGCCCAGATCACACTGCAGATCCCTGCCTCCTTTGCTGCTGCTGCTGACTTGTGCAACTTAGCTTCAGTTAGTCAGGATGTTCTGAGAGATGTGCCTGGAAAATATGGTAAAGAACTTTTAATCCAGGTTAAACTTGTTATTTAAAACTGCTGGTCCTATCTACATTAACCATGGTGTGTCCTGCTGGATCTCAAATCCCAAATAATCTCCTCCATTTTCTCTGATTTAAAGGCGTTTTCACAAAACCACCAGATATTCCCCTTCTGTCAGCCTCCATTAATTTGAGCAGCACCTACGAATATTTCAGGATGGTATCTGTAAAAGTGGAAGCATAAGCTTTACTTAATAGTGTTTATTTCAGAGTTCTGGTTTTGCTATGTTTTTTCTTCTGAGTATTCAGTTTTGCTTTGCCCCTTGTTTTCTAGTTTTAGTGGTCTCATTCTTATTTTGTTGTGTTTTCTGCTTATTTTCAGTTATCAGTTTTTTATTTGTTGCCTTCTGCTGCCCTCTTGTGTTCTCCTTTTTCCCTAGCTCCTTTCCTGATTCTGCCCTGTTAACACCTGCTCCCAATCTGCTCATTAGTCCTCCCTTTGTTTCTGTCTCCCTTGAATACTCTCTCTGTTCTGTTCTTCTTTGGTGGTTCCTCGTCTAACTTCCCATCTGACTTCCTCCAACTCTGTCTCTCTGAGCCTTCCTCCTCGTGTTAGTATCCCTCCTGATGTCTCCATGGTTTCTGGTTTGTTTTTGTTTTGTCTGGTTTGGTTGTTTTTGTTTTAATGTTTTGATTTTTGGATTCCTGGTTTCCGGTTTGTTTGGACTTTTTGGATTTCCTGCCTCTTTGTTCACTTAACCTTTCATTAAACCCACAAGAAAATCACCTCTGCCTCCTTGCCTCTGCATTTGGGTCAACAAACCACAACCAAATCTTGACAGTTTAGAGGAAACCTTTAGGAAACCCTAGACGGGCTTCCAGCTAGAATTTTGCAGTTAATAATATATTTGCTCAAACAAACAAATCATTTGTATAAACAAACAATCCAAACACTTAGTTAAGTAATTATTGGCTCAGTTTAGGTCAGCATAAGTTTCTCTGACCAACACTGTGACATCTGTTACTCAACACTAAAAGCTATTGGTAGGATTCACCAAATAGTCCGATTGGACTCACAGAGAAATGCAGCTGAGGAGTGATTTACCAAGAAGTACTGTGATGAAAATGGTGCTGATTCACTCACTCTTTTACTGGAGGAATCAGAACATGATTTTGAAATCTTTCTAATCAAGATACACAAGCAGACAGTGTAACC